GCTCCTGGTGTTGATGCCCCAACGGGCCAAGTCTCAGAACATCACGTCCCCAGCGAGTGCGTGGGGACCCCCAGCTGGCCAAGTGCCCACTGTCCCCTGCCCTGCCTGCACCCCTGCCCACAGCTCACCCGTCCACTCTCCACGATCTCTCTCTGGAGGTCCTTGGAGGCCAGGACCAGGATGTGGATGGCCTGCATGAGGCCCGTGCAGGAGCCCAGGATCCTGTGGGACAAACCCCACTGAGCCCTGCTTGTGGGGCAGGGAGACCCCATCCTGCCTGCCCAGCTCTCCCCAGCGCCCCAACCACCGCTCACCTCTCGTTCACTTCCAGTTTGACCCCAGTGTCACCAGCCCGCGCCTTGCTCAGCATCTCCTGGTAGAGGGGGGAGAGGCTGTGCTGAGTCCCGTGCGCCACCCTGGCCTCACACTGGCAGGCACGGGAGGCACGGCACCCACAGGTGCCTCGTGGCATGCAGCAACTCTCACCTCAATGCGGGCGGATGCTGTTTCAATGGCTGCCGCTGTTGCTGCCATCTCCTTGTCCACCAGGTCACCCAGCTCCTCCTGCTTGACGTCCAGCCCTCTGGGCCGCAGTTCCTAGGGACGGGATGGGACAAAAGGGACCACCGAGTGGTGACACAGCTCCTCCTGTGGTGCTTGCCACAGCCTGACTCCATCCCACCAGCCCTCCTGGGGCACCCACCTCCCCGATGGTGCTAATCCGGCCCAGGCAGGCGGTCACCGGGCTGCAGTCGGCGCTTTCCACCGTCCCTGGGTCTTGCAGGGCGCTGAGGTAGCTCACAGCCTCGCTGCCGCACTGCTTGCACATCTCCAGCAGACCTGCGTGGGCAGCACGAGAGGCCGAGGGTGCCGCACGCACACGGGGACAGAGATGCCTGGCCCCCCCCAGCCTCCTGCCTGCCCCAGCATCCCGCCCATGCTGGCCCCTGCCCACCCCGGCATCCTGCCTGTCCCAGCATCCCGCCTGTGCCGGCCCCTGCCCACCCCAGCATCCTGCCTGCTCCAGCATCCTGCCCGCCCCAGCATCCTGCCTGCTCCAGCACCCTGCCCATGCTGGCCCCTGCCCTGCCCCAGCCCCTGCCCGCTGTGGGGCAGCACTCACGGTCGGCGGGCTCCATGGGGGCCACGTGGGAGGTAGCGCTGCCCTGCAGGAGGGTGTCACTGACGAGGTGGGCAAAGAGGGCCAGGCAGGGCAGCAGGGAGCCCATGGCTGCGGCAGAAGAGTGGCAGATGCCTCAGCCCCGGTGGCCACTGCCCACCCATCCCACGAGTGCCGGAGCTGCCCCTGGCCCCTGCCCCTGGCCGGGGCTGCCGTCTCTCACCTGCGCAATTGGAAAGGTATTTGCCATGTGCGTCCCGCAGCCGCTCCACGCACTCGGAGGCCGCCAGCGTCCTGGACAGGAGGCAATCTGCAGGCAGACAGCAGGCAGGACTCAAACGCGGGGCATCCCTGTGTGCGGCACGGCCGCTCGCTGCCACCAGCACAGCCCGGAGGACAGGAGGGAGAGGGACTTTGTGTGGCGGCAGGTTGGGATAAAGCCGGGTTTGGCAAGCACTGGGGAACTCACCCGCTGAACCATGCGCTCCGCCTCCCGCGCGGTGCCCCGCAGCAGGGCAAACTGCTCCTCAGCTAGGCGCCGCTGCAGCGCCTGCTCCCCGCTCTCCTGCCAAGCCAGCGCAGGCGTCACAGCCCCCACTGCACCCGCACCGAGTCACCCCTGAGCCCCACGCTGCCTCCAGCTCTGCCGAACCCCCGCAGCTCGGCAGGGATGCTGGGATGCCCGGTGCTGGCGGTGCCCCCAGCGTACCTTCTCTCTCAGCCGGGTCTGCAACGTCTCCAGCTCCATCTTGCTGCTCTCCTGCTCACGGCTGAGCACCTCCCGCAGCCCCTGCAGCTCAGCCCGCAGGGCAGCCATCTCCTCCCCGTGCCGCTCCGCTGCCCGGCTCAGGCTGTCCCTCTCCTGCTCCAGGCCAGCGATCCGGGTGCTCTGCTCTGCTCCTGCCTGAGTGGGCACCAGACAGCGGTCAGGGCTGGGCTGAGGGCAAACCCTCCACTTTGGGAACATGGTCTGAGCTCAGGCCACCCCAACCGTCCCCACTTGGTGCATTGCAGCCCTGCATCACCCACAGCCCCGCAGCACCCTGGCAGCATAGAGGGCCTCACCTGGCGCCAGCCTCCCTTCCGTTTTTATCATTGAAAAGTCACTTTTATGGCGACCTTCAGCATCCTGACAGAGGTGTGGATGAAGGGCACTGGCTGCTGGCCCCGGAGCAGGCTCTGCCCCATCCCTGCCCTGCTGCAGCCTGTCCCCCCACCCCAGGGATAGGCAGCTCCATTTTCCTGCCAGCTTCTGCCTTCTGCAATGGGCCTGGAAACCCCTGCTGCCCCCCACAGCTTCACAGGCGTGAAATACCCTCCTGCATGGCAGCAAGCCCCTGCAAAGCCTTGCGGTGTGACGGCACGCTCCCTGCTGGGGTTTTACAGCAGGCAGAGCCGTCCTGCCTGACGCTGCTCTTGCACCTGGGAACGTTCAACCCCCAGTACAATCACTAAACCCATCAGGATGCAGGGAGGAAGACAACAGGGTTCTGATTATCAGGCCAATGGTGGGGAACATCCCCCTAGATGGGTAACACCTCGCCCAAGCACCGCGGCAGCAAGCAGCCCTCCCCTTTGCCCAGGCCGCCTGTCCCAGGGTGGTGGAAAAAAAAATGGGCTCTCACCTGCGCGCTGGACTCCAGGGTGCCCTGGAGGACCTGCAGCTCCTGTCTGCTGGCTGCCACCTCCCGCTTCAGCGTGTCCAGCACCTCTGCCTGCTCCTGAGACTATGGGCAAGAAGCAAAGTTGCCAGCACTGCTGCCCCATGGGGAAGTCTCCTGCCCACCCCTGGTGTCCCCCCACCGCGTCCCTGCTCACCTTCCTCTGAGCCTGCTCGCTCACCCGCTGGAAGGAGTCCTCCAGCTCCTTCTTCTCCCGCTCCACATCCCCCTGGGCCTGCCTGGCCGCTGTCACCTGCTTGGTCACCTCCGCGTTCTGGCAATGGCAGAGAGGGAGCTCAGTGACCCCCGGTGCTTGGGGGGCGCGGCTGGGAAAGGGGATGCCAGGAGGGGTGTCGAGGAGCCCACCTTCCGCAGCAGGTCGGCATGGTTCTGCACCAGCTCACTGTACTTCTCCTTCAGCTTGCTGTAGCGCTGCTCGTTGGCCTGCGCCCGCCCTGCCGCACACACAGGGATGCTGAGATCAACACCCGGGACCACCCCCCAGGGCTCACCCTCACCCCCAGCCAGGTGCCGGCTCCCCGTGCTCACTTTCAATCTCTGTCAGGCTTCTCTGTGCCTTCTCAGTGTCCTCCCGCTGCTTCTTCAGCTCCTCCAGCTCTGTGCGCAGGAACTCACTCTCATCCTGCGCCTGCTGCTTCAGGTGCCGCTGCTCGGCCAGCTCGGCCTCCAGCTCGCTGGCGCGACCGCGCAGCTGCACCACACCCCGTGCGCTCTGCAGGACGGCAGGCAGGCAGCTCCCAGCATTGTTCTGTGGCTGCCAGCACCGTCCCGTGCCCACCAGTACTGTCCGGTGGCCACCCAGTGGGTAGCATCCCTCAGAGCCCCAAATGCAGCAGGGTGAAGCACAGAGGATGCTGGGCAGCGGGGGGAACCTGGCCCCCTGGCAGGGACACAGCCCCCTCCCAGCACACCTGGGGACCCCCTGTATGGGCAGGGATGGCTGCGCCAGGGCTGCAGAAGCCACCGGGGACAGGGCAGGACAGACAGGGTCACCACCTTGCCCATCCAGCCACCACCCTGCCGTCCCCATTCCCAGCATGAGCTGCCAGGTCCCATCCTTCCCCTGGATTGCCACAAGGGTGCTCCCTGCATGACAGCATCGGATGGTCGTCACCCACCTCGGCCTTGAAGTTCTCCAGCTCCTCCTTCAGGGCTGCAATCTCCCCATAAAGCTGCTCAATTAACCGGTCCCTGGAAAGGAGAGACACCAAGTACATCCTCAGTGCCACCAGCTGCACCGGTGCCACAAGGACGCAGTCCTGGCAGGGCAGGCATCCCCTGTGCCACCATGGCTGCAGTGCTGGGGCAGGGAGGGAGCTCCTGGTCTGATCCCAGCTGCCTCCACGGCATCACTGGGACTGCTCACTTGTCGTCCTTCTTCATCCCGTTCTGGCTATTGAAGTTGAAGGGGTCGCTGTTGAAAGAGCTGCCGAAGATGTCATCAAACTTATTGTCAAAGAGGCTCTGTAGGGAGAGCAGCATGGACCTGGAGTCAACCCACCGCCACCCGGCAGCCCTCGCCCCCCCCACGTCCCTGGCGGTACAGCCAAGCCAGCCCATGTGCTGCTGCCCGGGCACTGGGGCTGGATCCCCCCTGCTGCTCCCAGGGCATTGAACGTCTTGAACATGGAGCATCTCTGGTCCGTCCCCACTTGACTCCCAGGGGCGGAAAATCCCCAAAGCCATGCTACCACACACCTCTCCCCCTCCTGAAATCATGGAATCAGAGAATCATTTGGGTTGGAAAAGCCCTTTAAAATCACCAAGCCCAACCATTCCCCTAACTCTATCATCCCACCACTAAACCCTGGCCCTCAGCACCGCGTCTGCCCAGCTTCTAAATCTCCCCAGGGATGGGGACTCGACCCCTGCCCTGGGCAGCCCCTTCCAGTGCCTGACAGCCCTTGCAGGGAAGGAATTTTCCCCAATGTCCAACCTAAACCTCCCCTGGCACAACCTGAACACCCCCAGCTCCCCCAGCTGCTCCCCAGCAGCCTTGGGCTCCAGACCCCTCCCCAGCTTCCTTGCCCTTCCCTGGACACGCTCCAGCCCCTCCAGGTCCTTCTGGGAGTGAGGGGCCCAACCCTGAACACCATGAAATGCTCAGCACCTGGGTACAACCCTTGCTGGAGAGCGGTATGAAGACCTAACACAAGCGCGCAGAGCCGAGGGGCGATGCTGGGAAGCCAAAAATCTCCAGCCAGCCATCACTGGAGGCCACCAAACCATCGAGAGAAGCACTGCAGGATGGACTCAGCCTGGCCCAGACCCAACAGCACCCACATGCATCACCCAGCACCCATGCAGCCTCCTGCAGCCACACTCCTCGGTGCCTGAGGCTGCCCCCACTGCCTCAGCCCCTGCCATGGCGTGGTTTTGGAGCAATAGCCCTGGTCTCGGAGCAAAAGTGTGGCCACCATCCTCTCTGCAGCCCGAGGGGTGCAGGCAGTGCCGCAGCAGCTCACCTGCGAGGCCGTGTCCATCTCCACCAGGTCTGTGATGGGCTCGCTGTCGGGTGAGGACGCCTCGGCAGGGATGACCACCACTGGGCTGATGTGCTCCGACAGCGCTGAGGCACGCAGGAAATTGGGAGGGTTCTGGAGAGGGAGGGGAATACGGCTGGGTGGGGGAGGACCACCACGGTCACAGGGCTTCAGGCATGGTTGATCAAAATCCCAGTGCTGAGCTGGCCATGCCCAGACACATGGGAACGGAGCCAGGACCCACAGGGATGGATCCCAGCCCCTGGCTGGAGCAGCAGCTCCATCCTGCAGGATCCCACCCAGGGAGGGATGCAAGGATGAGCCTCAGGCCCCACAAGCCCCACATTGCCACCAGCCTGGGGAAGCTGGGCAAGGGAGAAAGCAACCCTTTTTGGGCACCGCCCCCATGCCACTGGCCCTATTGCTGCTCCTGGCCATGGGGACAGGAAGCGCGGGGACCAGGGACCATGGGGTCTCACCTCCGGCAGCTGCGGGATCTGAATCAGCCGCTTGAAGTACTGCAGGTTGCTGGAGCGGTAGAAGAGGTCCTTTAGCCTGTGAGGGGCAGGGAAGGGTTAGGGATGGCACTTGCCCAACCCAGACACCCCACCCCAAATGTGTGGAGCCCCAAGAGGGTGTCACCAGGCCACCGCGCTGTGCCAGAGGGGATGGTGGTGTGTGCTGCCACCAAACCCACAGCTGGCCCTGGGAAGACCCTGTTGCCAGCCGCCCACCTCTGGCAAGCACTGACCACTGGAGGCTTTCTCCTGTAAACCCAGCACCTCATGAGCAGAGAGAAGGACCTGATACTTGGGCAACCTGATCCCAGGGGAGATGTCCCTGCCCATGGCAGAGAGGTGGGATGTGATGGGATCATCTTCAAAGATCCCCTCCAACCCAAACCACCCTCTGAGTCTATGAAACCATGAACCAGGATGGCACCAAGGTACAACCACCGCCCTGTGCTGCCCTCACCACAGCCAAAGCTTGAAGGGAGAGCTGGGGAACACCACCACTGCTCCTGCTACAGCCCCGGTCACCAGCAGGTCAGGGGCTTCCAGCCTGGAGGCCACATCTGCACTATCACCCTCAGCTCCCGGGCAGCATCTCCCCCCAGAGCAGGGCTACCTCCCTTCAGGATTTCCAAATCTGGGGAGGAGTGGCAGCTCCCCTCCCTTCCAGCCACCCCGGCATCCTGGCTGGTGTCTGGGCGCTGTTGATACCTGCCCCAAGGTCTCTGCCCTGGGTGGTGAGAGCCCATGGACAGCCCCGCTATCTGCTGACATCTGTGCCTTGGTGTTTTTCCCACAGGCGCTGGTTTGCAGTTTGTGACCTTGAATTGGGCTCTCCCTCGGTACCGTGACATCCTCCCCTGCGCTCGGTGGCCAGTTTTCGTTTTGACTACCCTAAACAATTATGTACCAGAGGCCAGGGCACTTCGCTGCTTGCTCTTTTTTGATCTCATTTAAAAGACATTGAGAGGACGGGTTCCAGCACTATCGCTGGGGACCACCCCGAGACACTCGCTGGTACAAAACGCAACCATTTGTCTCCTCTTCTTGGTGCAGGTACTAATCCAGGGGAGACCTGCCCTTACATTCCGTAGGACCATGGGCTCACAGGATGGTTCAGGTTGGAAAGGGCCTTCAAAGCTGCTCCAGTCCAGCCCCCCCACCAGGGGCAGGGACATCTCCCCTGGGATCCGACTGCTCAAAGCCCCATCCAAGCTGGCCTTGAACCCTCCCTGGGCTGGGGCATCCCCAGCTGCTGGGGGCAGCCTGTGCCAGTGCCTCAGCACACTCAGGGTACAACATTGCCTCCTGCTGTCCAGCCCAAGCCCACCCTTGCCCAGTTTAAAATGGT